TATATACATAATTATATTTATACAAGATATCAGTTTTAAAAACCCATTTGTATCTTTACGTATGACGAAAAAATAAAATAAAATACAATAAAACAATATCTTTTCATACTATGCTAAAGAATATTAACATAAAAAACAACCCAATGAGTCACGTGTATGCACGAGAACTGGTTAATTCGTTATTGTAGAACAAAAACGAAAACTCTTTATATTTTTCTTAGTAGATGGCAATAATATCCAACGTTAATTATGAATACTCGAACATCCATATGATCATATCATTTATATGAAAGCTTAACACATTCCATTACTAAGTTTCTTCCACGGTTTGTCTTCTTCGACTTACGGGGACAACATACATCAACGGTTACGAAACATTCAGAAGTACCACGTCATAACACCGGTCAACATTCGAATAATTGTCTTTCGTCATACAAATCACAGTATATAAATCTATTTTTCAACAATATTTACAAAATTATTTCCAACTACATTGTATTGTAGCGTAGCTCCTTTAAGCTAAAAATTACACAAAACGTTTAAGTGGTATATTTCCTGTTTTGTAAAGATATGTCATTTAGTAGTGGATGGCATTAAATTGAGAAAACTGTTTAAAATGCCATTAATCAATGATTATGAAAACTTACTATTATAGTCAAAATCATTTAACAACGCAGGCGCACATGTATGATTTATGAAAAAACAGCTTATTGTACTACAAAACCTTTAGACAAATTCAACGAGCTTTCTTTTTTTAAGCACCTTCACTAGAGAAAAAAAGACAAGAAATACGTTTTGATATATTCAATATACTGTTCAATGAAGAATAATCACCTATCGATTTTTTCATGTACTAAATATAATAAAGTTTCATATTAACGTTTATATAATAATAAAAAAATCCAAACAGGTTTGATATTAACTTTTAAACATGAACCGGCGCAAAAATCCAAGAAGCACATCTAGCATGAGGATATTTTGTAGTTGTAGTTATCATGCTGTAAAATGTACAATTTTTACGCATGTTTAGTAACTCGCTTTAAAGTCTGCTGTCTATAAATGTTTAAGACAATTATGATTCAATTAGTAGATACTTTTTGCATAAATCTAATTCTAAAGTCATGTTTCTTAAATTTTAAATTACAAAGCACGCACGTTTATGAACTTCTCCAAAAACATACAGGAGCGCTTGATTCACTTGTAGCGTATTTATGACAGACACTCAAACATTCCACAGATATACATTTGTTCTGTTCTTGCTTTGAGTTAAGCATAATTATTGATCATTGTTATAAAAGAACCACTACAGGAGTGATATTAATAATTATCACAAAGTCATTATGCTGTAATACTTGGCAGAAACACTTTGGGATATTCTTTAGAAACGATTAAAGTAATTGTACGAAGTATTAGCCATTAACACAAGTCCTATAATCAGCAGGTGTATACGTTCGTTTTCTCAAAATTCAAGCAGTCAATCCAGTGCTGATCCTAGCAAACGCAAGGCCTACTGCAGCAGGGTATCAGACTACACAGTTCACTGATAGATTGCACACTAGCGGCGGACTTGACCACCAAGCTTTTTTTATAAGTAACTGTTTTAACAGGTTAAGTAACTGTAATATCAAAATTTTTAAAAAATCATAATTTACTTTTTTGTTTGAAATGGCACTAAACTCTAAGTAGTCGTTTGTCATACTTGTGTTTAACGACAGACTGTGTTTATAATAACATTCTGTAACAATAGTTGATCATTTATCTTGTTAACTTACATTTGCATACAGATTTTCAAAAAAAAAGTATCTCCACTATTCCACAAATGTAAAATATTAATTCTATATATATATAAAACAAAAATGATCAAGGCGTCTAATGGAAGTGATTCACACGATGAAAACCAGACGTGGCCACTAATGTAGAGAGGTTCTATTTTTGTTTATTCAATTACACTAACACTTTAACGTATCTACATAACAACATACCAAATACTGGAAAATGCAGTTACTAAAAATCATTAAAATATATAGAGATTTGTATTGTACAAATTTGCAAATACCGTGGAAATTTATTTTATCTGGACAAATTCAGTTCAGGATTTTTATACTATAGAGTCAATTCATCTAGTAAAATGATCAGTGTGAGTAACAACTCTGGTTGGAAAAAAAATCAAAGGTGCAATGGATCCTCAACCTCAACGATCATTGACAGTACTTTTAAGATTTCACTGAAACAGTTGAAAGTTATTTAAAAATATATTTAAAGATATTCGTTAAGAGCCAACGACTTTTGTTCGAATTTTGGAAAGGATTTTAATTGATTTTTGACAGAATAAAGCTCTCTTTATGTTATATTTTAAATCGATGTAATAGTCAATAACTACTCATAAAAATGTAGAATAACAACTTTTTCGTAAAACGCACAGCAATTAATGTTTTTCTCGCACGCACGCATAATAGCCTTTATTTTTACAAAAGCGAGCTTGACGTTTTATAGCTTTCTATTTAGTTGCAACTGTTAGTTCCCTCTTCAGCATGTTGTGGTTTTGCTTATTTTGCGCAGAGCCACAGAATGGGCTATCTGCGCTCTGTCCACCGCGAGGAATCGAGCCTCAGATGCTAACGGTGCAAGTCCGTCAACTTAACGCTGATCACCAGGGACAATTGGAATAAGAAACGTATCTCAGCACACGTCGTCAAAAATAACCAGTTGACTACAGTTCCGATTACACCTATAGTATTAAATCTAACAAAGAATATAAAATGAACGTTTAATAAATCCAGTGTTATCGTAAGCACCTTACAAGTTATTTCGTATTATTTTATTAAACAAACAAATAAATAACTAAAAATAGCTACACGATTTTGTAACATCTAGCTATATATATCACAGATACCGATAAACAAGTCACGCCAATAGTCATGGCCTGTGGTAAAGTTAAATAGGAAGTTCGCCACTAGGATGACTTTTCATTCTTGGCACATTTTTGCCTTTACTTTTGCATCTTTATTTTTTTTTCCAAGAGTGAACGATCTCTAAGATTTTAGTAAATCAGGCCAAAATCCTTGATTTCTGGTATTAAAATAAATTTTAAACAACGCTAATATATTATAAATGGGTAAAAAAAGTAAGTCAAATTTGCAGTTCTTCGTTAGTGTGTTCAAGTATTTGTTATAATATCGAAATTAAGTTACAAACAAAATAATATTATTTTAGGTTTAAACCATTTCACAGTCCTTAAAAAATGTCTATCAAAAGTGTAGTCATTTAAAGTGAAGCATAAGAGTAAGATTACTTCTAACATTTCAAGAAAATAAAAGTAGCTGTTAATATGACATTTTTCTAACGTTTGGCGGGTAAACTTTTTCGTAGAAGAACAGTCTGCTGTGGAAGGTTTTTGCAAATTGCTTTAGTTAATTAAGATTAAACTTTCACTCCATTATAGATTCATCATTTGTATTTCATTTTTCTCATATTTGTTAACAAAACTAAAAGTTACTATTTTTTAAACGATTTTAAAACAGCCAATAAAAATGCAATTTCATCATTTGCACAAAGCATTTAAATCACTTTGTCACGTGATCACTTGACGGGAAGCTTCTAATAGTTATCAAACTAGCGTCAGTAGGCTTAACACACCTACTTATAGAATGATCCTCGTAGAAAAGCGATAAGCAACAGATACGTTCAATTACCTTACCTGAAGTTATTAAAATTTAAATTCCTCATGAAATTGGTAAGGTTTGCTAAATATTTAGCGATGCACTTTTCACATCTTACTGGTTTTTTTTTCAAGAGACTTAAATTAATAAACCCGAAACCACTGAAATTGAAAAGCAATGTTTGGAAATTCGTCTAGTGTAAAAGATAAATTTTATCGTATGCACCAGACCTCTCTAATACTTTTAGAACATTTGCAATATCGAAATATGATAATATAGGAAGTTTTTGCTCAAAATTTTTATGCTGTATAAATGTGATTGTTTTTCACTTAAAATCCTTCCCTAAGTTTCCAAGAGAATAGAAACACCCCGTACTTTCACCGGGTAAAAAATATTCTTTAGAAGTCAAGCAATCCATAACGTCACCAGACATATATTGGTCTAGCACGTTACTATCTGTGATGAAACTTTGTAGAATGGACGGCAACTTTCTAAACGTCGTCCGCTACACTTGTATCTCTACAACAAGCAGTTGCCATTCATTCTACAAAGTTTCATCATGAATACTCTGCCTAAACAATCTATCAAAGAATACGTTACTATCTAAATTATAACTTTTTTTTTTCTAGTTAAGCAAATGTTATCTTATCTTAAGCTTCTAGTTTGTTAACCATTTTTTTACTTTACACAGTTTGTGTAATTTCAAAACCAAGTAGAACACGAGGCTTAGACGAAAGTAGAGTTCCTGTAATTCTGTACTTGACATTTCTTTTAAACAGTGGTTTTGGTTTTGTTTGTTTACTGAAAACAAATAGTCTTCCATTAGGTTATAGTTATAAGTGTCTTGTATTATATTTTTCCCAATTACTAACTCTACTGTTTTGCTGAAGACCATGAAAAAGATGTATAGCTTTAGAACAATAACCTATCTCACTATCAGTAGCGTTCACAAAACATATAAATATAATTTAGTTCGCTTGAAATATACATATATTCACCAGTGTATGATCTGTAAATATCGTTAGTCAATGCTTCATTCGCACCTAACACATTTTTGTCTCTCACTTCTTTTGTAATGAAAAAAAAGGTGAATGAATGTTTTGTTAAATTCACTATTCACCGCACTGCTTGAAACACTTCCCTTGTTAGTGGCAATCTGGGTCCCAGTGATCACACCCATCCCATACCGTGATTGGAAAATGGGCGGTCAAGAGGTCGAAAAGTCAAGCTAGTTTTGACAAAATTCGAAGTAACTGGCTCGGTAGAGCTTGTATGAGCTATAGTAGCTGGAAAACCTTGGTTTGAGACTACAGTCTGTGATTGGCTCTTTACCACAGTTGAATTTAAATCAGGACATATGATCGAATTGCTTCTTGCTGCTAGGTGGCTAGAAACTTCACTGTACTCTTTTCCTTTGCTTTTTCTTGAACTTTTCCCACAAACTCTCACTGACAAAACCTGAAAATAAATAGTTATAACTGATTACAAACTTTGTGTGAATATCATCTGTTTTGTTGAATAATTATTTGCCGTACACGGATGGGCGTCCGCAGAAATTATTCCAGGGAGAGGCAAAGTTTTCCGGGGGGGGGGGAGGCAAAGTGGTGTGAAATTGTGAATTGAATAAAAAATTTATATACATATCTTGCATGAATAAAGAAAGAATTATGTTTCTCATTTTCCGAGGGGGGGGGAAGCAAGTGCCCCATTCTCCCCCTCCCCCACGCGGACGCCCATGCTTATACATACATACTCCTAAAGGCAATTAGCTGGACAAAATGAAAGAATGGGGCATGTATTTAATTAAACACGGAATAATTAAAACGTACGTTGTTTCATAAGAAATAATACAGCGAAACAAAATATTTTTTAACTGAGAAAGTTGTCTAAGTAAAGGAACAACATCAGGTTGGGTGTTACTATTTCTTTTTACAAAATATCCATCACTATCCTCAGGGCTGGATACAGCATAAATATGACTGATAAACTAGAAGGCTGTGCAACTGAAAAAGTAGTTCCAGGTGGAGTGTGGTTAGGTTTAATTGCTTTTAGTATAAAATCTGTTTTTAAGAACAAAGTAAAGAAAAGAAAACTATTTAAAAAAGCTGCACATATGATTGTGTAAGACCAGTCATAATAAGTTGCCAAGAAAATGTTAACACTATATTCTTAATGCTAAATAATCTGCGCAGTATCACTCCATCCGATCTATAAAAGTCCTACGTGTATATTAATTCCTGACAAGGGTTTTAAACGTTAATATAAAATAAAAATAACATTTTACCATAAGCAAGACAGCACCAATTAAGCCCAGTAATACTCCCCACCAATGGGTCATCAGCCACTCTTTCAGAAGAGCAATGCTTTTACTGGACAGAAGAAGTCTGTGCAGTGTAGCTAATGGTCCGGACGGGTCCACCTGGTGACATACAACAAAATTAAGTTAAACTGTAAAATACATTCGGAGGTAGTAGCAAACACTTGATTATAATTAAACTAAGGAAAGAATGAGCGTGATGATAGTAAAATTCAGAATGTATTTGATTAACGTGATCCAATACTTTATGTTTTATAAACAGTACAACTCAGCTTATATTAGGATATTTCGTACAGTCAGCTGATTTTGATTTTAAAACATATATTATAAACTAACACAACTTGATAAAAACGAAAGCTGAGTTATACCAACGTTATGCCTGCATGTTTTGCTCCCAGTACAATTTTTAACGCATTCTGTGGTTAGTTCCGAAAAATATGCCGAGTAGTGTCTTAACGAAGACGCTTCATTCACAGTCAAGATGGTATATACCGTAAAGACCTCGTGAAAATATTATGTTGCTCCCATCCAACCAGAATTTTAAATAATTTATTTTTTAACAAAAAATATTTAGAAATAATCCTTTCTGAACTGCGCAATTGGTGATTCAGAACTTGAAATTAGTCTTTTAGAATTATACAATATGTGATGAACTGAATACTAACATAAAATCATATTAAAATAAAATAATATGTGTAAATAAAGACGTATATTTTCGAGGTAACATTTTACAAATTTTTGTAAGTTTGTGTAAACTGAAGTTCTAAAGATACGAAAATTTTCAATGTTTTATAATTAGTGATTACATCATACCTCTCTGCATCTTTGAAAAACATCACAATAGCCATTGTAGTTGTTGCACGGAGTACCGGGCTTAGCATAAAGATCGGGGACATCGTAAGGAGGAATGTTCCACTCGAAGGAAGATCTGAGTGAAATATAGCCTGTCAATTAATTTTCATATCCTAACTTAACAGTTAGTCGTTCTCATCATAGAGAGGTTGAAATATTAGATAGATGAGGTTATTGGAATGTTTGTAGGTTCACAATCTGACAAAAATCCCTATTAGTATCGATGGTAATTCACAACAAGAAGAGAGAACAAATACTTTTTTTTCTTGCTGCTTCTTAACACTCTGTCTGAGATGTTGGATTTAAAAATTAATTAAGTTTTACTGAAATACATTATAAGAAAAATATTGCACGAACCAGAAAAAAAAATCTTATTCACTGGCTGCAGCAAGTATATTTACTGTTCAGAATATACAAGAGTATATTAGAGTGCACAAGTGCAACTGTGTGAAAATAACATCAAAACTAAAAATATCGATTATAAATAAGCCTACTTGCAACTAGAACCATCACCAGGGTTTTGACAACACATCTCACAGGCTTTAGTAACAGGGTCACTGGGTCCCATTCGGCACTGGCAGGAGTGAAGACCGTAAGCCACACAGATCGAACCAGTGCACTCCTGTAACCCAACCAAATCTCAGATAAGAGAAGAGACTAAGTTTATAATACTAAGAAAATATAAAGCAAATTTATTCATTGTTATAAATTTTCAATTTTAATAGCAAGTTCACAGCTGAGCTAATCAGGTTTGGTTGTGGTTTCGATTTCTTTTCACAGCAGATTGCCACAATTTTTGGTTTTAGTCACACTGATTGTGGATAAATAGACTAAGTAATTTGAATATCTTGAAATTTACCCTTTCATGTAACATACAGAAAATATTTTAGTTGCAGTAAAAAAAGGGAACTGTAAACGAACTAAATCATGCCTAAGGAAAATACATCAACAACTTAACCAATGTTTTTCATATTTATTATAGATACAGTTGGATGTTTAAAAAAACTTAAAGTTATATATTCATTGGTGTAAGGATATAAATAAGTACATAAATATACATACGTATATAATGAAAAACGGCCATTGATACAGTTGAAAAGTGAGAATTTAAAAAATTCGGAATTCGTTATATAACCATGAACAGCGATTTTATCCTGTCGATGCCATATAATAAAAATCATACATCTGATGATCGGGCATGTGATCTGAAATCCAAGTGATTGTTTATGTTTCTATGGTATAAACAATATTCTTAGGTAAATCTCGCCTAATTTCTCACTTTCCACTAAATTACAGAGTTTAAAGTTCTCCAAGTTGCTCATAAACAATATTTAGACTTTACAGGAGACATATAAGTGTTTCACTTATGCGAAGAAATATCAAAAGAATGTATGTCGAAATCACAACCGGCTGTTGCGAATTGGTTACAAGTGTTTCAAGTTTCTTGTTTTTTGTAAAATGTGAAACCGATTCCAAAACAATAGTGCAGAAGCACTCAGATTCCTGGACGAACAAACCATCATTCACAACACAAGCTTACAACCGCTGTCAGTTGTTTCTGGATCGCTGCATTCGTTGAATACCAAGTCCGAGATTGAATCACTTGTTCGCAGCCGCAACTGGACTTGTATCAGTGTTGAGACAGTTAGAAACATACTTAACAAGGCCGACCTGCATGACAAATAAATACTCATTTAGGTGTATTCTGCTCACAACAAATCGCAAAACAGTTCGCCAATAATACGTTCAGTGAACTAAAAGCACGTATAGCACTGGAAAGAACCTTCAACCGAATCTAACACTATTTTCGTATAAGAACGTCACGCATGTGGTTGGGGTAAAAAAGCATTAGTAGACGCACCATATCTATATCCTGTGAAATGGTCTCATTCAAGCCCAAGAGTATGGAGTCCACAACCTACGACCACGTGTGCTGCCTAAACTGGTGTAAATGGCTCTTGCAACGCCCACCCCCACAACACTAAACTGATCGATCACCTTTTGAAGAAAAGGAGATTGACAAAATGGAGTAGCTTGCATGCTCATCGGACATCAATCTTATCGAGTACGTCAGGGATGCTTCTGTGTGGAAAAGCGCCGCATCTCGTCCAATCACTCCAGTCATTGAAAATACCATGAAAACAGCTCCGTCAAAGCAATGATAAAAAAATACCTAAGGTTTTTAAGTTTTTCTTCGTGGTGATTAAACCATCATACTAGTGTGAAATGTTATGAATCACAAAAAATGTGCAGCCATCTCCACCAAGCATTCATATAGGCCGAATGATCAATAACATGTATTTCAGATCACGTGACGCAATATCAGATGCCTGATTTGCATAAAAATGTACTGAAGGGATGATTGATGTCATTTTATAACGATGATTTTGTCTTGTTACAGCTAAAATTTATAAAATCCAAGTAGGGAAGTCGATATGATTAAAAACAATACGTTTATAAAAAGAAAAGCTTAATATATTTATATAAAATTCATCACATATCGTTACTTAACTTACCCCAAGATAACAGACGAATTCTTTGTTGCAAATGGTTTTGTTGGGTTTGTTAGTGGAAGGAGGGCACTTCGCACTAACTCCAGTGGTTCATGGTTAAGTTTTAATAGACTTTACGTTTAGCTATTAACCTACTGTATTCGCATTACACTGATCTCTAAATCTTAGTCAATTCGTATAAAAATTATTTCTACAGTAATTCGCATAAACAAATATACAGGCGATTGTACGAAAATTATAATATTTTCAAAACATTTCTTTTAATTAGATCCACTATATGTTCTAAAATTTAAATTTAAAAAAAACATTTCAAGTTACAAGAAGAATGCAATTAAGGTGTTCACTCACATTTCAGAAAAACATTTTTGATATTTTAGTTGTTGTTTTCTTAGCACAAAGCTACTCAATGGGCTATCTACACTCTGTCGACCGCGGGGAATCGAACCCCGGATTTTTTGCGTTGTAAGTCCGTAGGATTACCGCTTACCCGCAGCCGGAGATTTCTTTTAGCAACATGGAATATTTATTCGTTTCAAGATGAGTGTTAAACACTTCTGCCCCCCAGTGGCACAGCGGTATGTCTGCGGACTTACAACGCTAGAATCCGGGTTTCGATACCCGTGGTGGGCAGAGCACAGATAGCCCATTGAGTAGCTTTGTGCTTAGTTACAAACAAAAAAAAATTAAACACTTCTGTTGTTCAGTTGTGTGAAGTTATTAACTTCTTTTATATTATCATTATCCCATTAAGGTGACTTGTTAAAACAGTTTTCGTTGAGACATCAAACATGATGTTGAAATTTGAAACAAAAACAATAGATTATAAATGCTGGTTATTTGCATTAAATTTTTATCATTTAAGTATCTTGTATTTATGGCAACGTTACTCAGGTTATCCGCCATCGACCATAATTTTAAACTATTAAACAAAGGGAAAGCAACCAGTTAGCAGCAAGCACCCTACCGCCCACCATTCAGACTAAGGGACTGACTGTCAATCTCACAACGTACTCTGCTTAATCTGCGGAAAATATTTTGTGGTATCACACGGATTCGAGCCTGCGTTGTCAGCTCCGAAATCCAGTGTTCTGCCAAAAACAATAAACCATGCCCATACAGTATATTTAAGCGGCAAAAATAGTCATAACTATTTTTAAAAAAGAAAGCTACTTCAAAAGCTCGTGAGATAAAATTGGGTTGACAGCCGAAAATATCGTTAACAACTCGTTATACTTTTTAAAAGAAAGGGCATAAGAAAAGTATATTTTATTGGCCATGATCATTTCGGGGTCGATGTATAGTTTTGATCTAAATAGGTAACTTTCTTTCATAAGAAGTTAGTATTAATAACCCGTATTCAGACATAAAAAAGCTAATGTTGTTCCATAAGAAGTTAGTATTAATAACTTGTATTCAGATATAAAAAAAAGCTAATGTTCTTCCATAAGAAGTTAGTATTATAAACTGTATTCAGATATAAAGAAGCTAATGCTCTTCCATAAGAAGTTAGTATTAAGAACCTGTATTCAAATATAAAGAAGCCAATGCTCTTTCATATGAAGTTAGTGTTAATAACCTGTATTTAGATATAAAGAAGCTAATGTTCTTCCATAAGAAGTTAGTGTTAATAACCTGTATTCAGATATAAAAACGCTAATGTTCTTCCATAAGAAGTTAGTATTAATAACCTGTATTCAGATATAAAGACGCTAATGTTCTTCCATAAGAAGTTATTATTAATAACCTGTATTCAGATATAAAGAAGCTAATGTTCTTCCATAAGAAGTTAGTATTAAGAACCTGTATTCAGATATAAATAAGCTAATGTTCTTCCATAAGAAGTTAGTGTTAATAACCTTTATTTAGATATAAAGAAGCTAATGTTCTTCCATAAGAAGTTAGTGTTAATAACCTGTATTCAGATATAAAGACGCTAATGTTCTTCCATAAGAAGTTAGTATTAAGAACCTGTATTCAGATATAAAGAAGCTAATGTCTACATATTATTTTTTAATGTAGGGTGTTGATTATGCAGTTCTTGTCTCTCTGGTGTTTTTGGATGGTTGCTGTTGTTTAAAAAAGCTATAGAATTGACTACTTGCTCTTTGTCCAGAGTGGGGAAATGAATCTCAAATATTAGCGTTGTAAGGCCGGAACTTACTGCTGACCCACCGGGGGTGAGGGGAGGGACGACGTTTTTGAATGAAATTTTGAAACCACTGAAGAATATGAAACACGCAGTAAGAAACACAACACAAAACGTCAATAACTTACTTATGGCTATTCTGCCTAGGTCATCAGTTAGGCAAGATTGCCAACTCTGTCTAATAATTAGACTAATTGACTGGAATCGATATTTTTTTTTATGAATTGTATTTAAGTTTAGAAGGTTTAGAAGTGATAATTTATTATTTCAATAATTTATTTTTTAAAAGATGAGTTTTTACTTATTATTCTCATTGAGATAAAGGAAATAGGTTGTAATAATATATACAAAACACCAATCATTCAATGGGATAAAGTTGTAATAATATATATATACAAAACACCAATCATTCAAGGGGATAAGGTTATAATAATATATATACAAAACACCAATCATTCAATGGGATAAGGTTGTAATAATATATATATACAAAACACCAATCATTCAAGGTGATAAAATTGGAATAATATATACAAAACACCAATCATTCAATGGGATAAAGTTGTAATAATATATATATACAAAACACCAATCATTCAAGGGGATAAGGTTATAATAATATATATACAAAACACCAATCATTCAATGGGATAAAGTTGTAATAATATATATATACAAAACACCAATCATTCAAGGTGATAAAATTGGAATAATATATACAAAATACCAATCATTCAAGGGGATAAGGTTGTAATAATATATACAAAACACCAATCACTCAAGAGGATAAATTTGTAATAATATATACATACAAAACACCAATCATTCAAGGGGATAAGGTTGGAATAATATATACAAAATACCTATCATTCAAGGGGATAAGATTTTAATAGCATATACAAAACACCACTCATTCAAGGGGATAAGGTTGGAATAATATATACAAAACACCAATCATTCAAGAGGATAAGGTTGGAATAATATATACAAAATACCTATCATTCAAGGGGATAATATTTTAATAGCATATACAAAACACCACTCATTCAAGGGGATAAGGTTGGAATAATATATACAAAACACCAATCATTCAAGAGGATAAAGTTGTAATAATATATACAAAACACCTATCATTCAGGGGGATTAGGTTGTAATAATATATACAAAACAACAATCATTCAAGGGAATAAGGTTGTAATAATATATACAAAACAACAGTCATTTAAGGGGATAATATTGCAATAATATATACAACACACCAATTATTCAGGGGGATCATAAAGCTAATGCACAATTTTGGTACTTGATGTATGCCGGAATGATTATTATCTACAAAATGAAATATTTAGTCTTAATTGTAACTTATGCATACGTGGGCTCCACGGTCAGGTGAGAGACCCCGACGTTGCAAGGACTTTGTCCGGTTCTTTTGATCGAATATCAGAATTGTTTGTAACTGTTATGACATGCCCTCAGTTAAAAGTGCGAAGCGTGTTCAGCATGATCACGTATCGAACTTTGGACTCTCAAACCGCAGCTTTGCACGACTACTAAGCCACTCGGAAAAAGAGAGCTCGTGGAGAGTGGTCTGTGGAAAACATATTGAGAACCGTTGGCTAAATGTAAAACATAATGTAATTTTCTGTTATAGAATATATAGATGGTAATAACTGCATTTATATAAATACTGATAGCAAGGATATTCACAAAAACTGGCGCTTCTACAGCCATTGTCATCTCGGCACTTTTTTCCAATCTTCAAGTAACAGTCGTGGGTGCAACAAGGACCTTGACTAGGGCTAAAAAAACAACAAAAAACCGAAACTATTTACGTACATCGAAAAAAAATTAAAATACATTAAATACAAGAACTGCATCGTACATACTGAAATGCATGAATATATAAGCTCTGCAGCTCCAGAAAGTTGTATTAAGTATCTCTCAATTTTTCAGAAAAAAAAGGAAAATCTCAAAATAAATATGAAGAAGATCCAGTTAAGGTAACAAGTGAAAACATATGTAACCATTAAAACCTATACTATAAAAATGTTTAAAAGGAGATCGACGAAGTATCGAAAACAATACGTTTAACGACAGGTCCACTGTCTCAGAATAACCTCGTTGTACGTAATTATGACAATTTTTTAAAATAAAATATTTAGAATTAGGCCGAGAGATGGCGCTAGTTTTTACTAATTGATCTAATACTGGATAACTAGTTCACGTAAAAAAATAATTATGAGTTGGTAACTGATATTTCTCTTCTTTTTTTCTTTTTGCGTATGAGGCACTTATATTTAAATTACATGCAAATAAATTAAACTAATAATTACTAAATATTATACAGTGAAAGCAAATCATGTATCTTCCGTTTCTTTGAGCTTTTTTTTTTCGTGAGTTGAAATCCCGTAAATTAATTTTGTGGTTAATACGTTTAAACATTCTAAACTTCAGTACAATTTCTTTACCTGCACATTATGTTAGGACGAAGATGACAAGGGGGTTGGTCGTGAGGAGGATTAATCCTCATGGGAAAACAACATGGCTCCTGACAGTCTTCCTCCCACCCACAATCACATTCTTCGTTTGCTTCTACCACACCGTTTCCACAGATGGCGAGCTGGGGCTCTAATAACAGTTTCAAATAATCAAACTTCAATTAAATTTATTAGTTACCAAATTCAAAACTATTAAAACAGCACGATATAAATTCGTTTTTTTTACCAATAGGTGGCGACATCTATCTTTCCTGCTTCTGTTTCAAATACAGTTTTCTTTAAAGCGCTAAGTTTTGGAATATGTAATCTTTGACCCTACATTTTGCAAATATTTAGAAATAATTTTTATCATATGTTTTAACCCACTAATGAGATTTTATTTTTAAACTTTGCTTTTGGCCTAATCAATAATTAATAGATAAGTCAACTTTCAAGTGTAATCAACACGTGATATTATTTCTATTACATTTAAAATTTTCACCTAAGTGATGCATTTGGTTAACATAAAAAAATTTCGATTGTACAAAATTTTCATTTACACTGAAATAAACAAGCAATATTCTTGTATATTACAACAACAACAACAACATTTTTTGTCTTAAAAGTGTTGTAACTCAGGTGTGACGTTTCATTGGTAGTATCGATAGTTTAGTTATCTAAAACTGGAAGTAACGACAGACGCCTGCCTTTCGAATGCAAAGAAGAAAGAAAAAAAAAGAAGTCTAATGAATATTTAATTTTATTATTGCATACGTTCAATTATAAGTTTCAAAATGAGATACGTGTTCGTTTTCGTTCATTTGCTGAGAATATGACAAACATTACATAAACTTCTTAAACTGTGTAATAAGAAACTATTTAATAAACTACAGAAATGTATGGCCACCTATAGTAACAAAGCGTACCTGTAAAGCATCCTCTCATGGTTCTTGCTTTTGTATTTAACACAGCATTCATGCTATTAAGGCTACATGGTGAAAATTTGTTGTTATTTTTCTTGTCTCCAGCGGTTGCCCTAGCAAACATTATATAGTTCCCATAATTACCACCAGGAGTACAAAGATCGTTATTTTCTGGGTCATGCTGTCGAATGAACGAAAAACTAGTTATTGGAAGAAAAATGGATAGAATGTTTCATGAATAAACAGTTTTTTAGTTCAAAGAGACTAGTACAAAAATGTCTCAATGGTACCTTGGCATTCAGCTTATCCTTTACATAATAATTTCTCACCGCATGACTTAGACAACTACATGGTTCCAAAATCATTATTTTATTCCTAGCATCTATTGTTTTAAAAGTGGATACTATAGCATACTTATATTTTTTAGTACACATGAGGATTATGCCTCTTTTATACCACTCCTATCTTTTAAAACTAAATATTTAGGTAACACATTCGATCTAATTTCACTAAAATGAAAACTTTTACACCATTAATGCAGCGCTCTATTTGTAATTTAACAAACAATTCTATGTCTGTTATTGGAGACTTCTGAAGACTGCATCTGTCTTGGAAGTTTTAGAATCTACTTGAAGTTTCTTTTAAATAATTTTATGACCGATTCTTTAACTGAAAAAAAATAAAAATGAATAGATAAAATTTGAAAGTATTTCACTGATAATTTGTTTCCGGTAAATACAACTAAAACAAATTAATTAAATTACTGACTTACCATGATGTCTTTTTTTAGTCTCGACGATTGTTTTTAGTCATAAAAATATTAATTTTTAAAACGATTAGCTGAACTGAAGAAAACTTCCTCGGCATAGATACGATTCATTTACAATCATTGTTGCTGAATAGCGAACTTTAAACTTAGTTGCGTTTGGATAAATATAACTAAAGTAGATGGCGTTAAGTTAATTTTGAACAGTTATTATGAATTAAACAAATGATTACAACGATGTAAATATATATATATACGTATCTTTAAACTATCAGTTGACAAAATTCTACGTCAGTGTCCTTATAACTGTCGAGTTGCTGGACCGATTGTCACCATACCTAGCATGTACCCCTAAGCTATCCCGTTGGGGCCCCTATGTTTTCTCCTTGCGTTGTGCGGTTACGTCAGCAAGTATATATATATATATATATATATATATTTATTTATTTATAGCGATGAGAACTAATACAACTTGTGTGATCACATAAGATAAATCTTTTTGAATACCGTTACAAATATTGTACTTACAGGAGATCCAAAGTTATGACCTATTTCATGCGCTAAAGTAACATGAGATACAACTGGCGGGACGTGTTTTCCATAGTTCAGGAGGGTAACGATTCCGGTGTTCAGACTTTTCAGGCTTCCACGATAATGCTGTCAAATAAGTGAAGAAGTCGAAGTAACTGAGATCGTTATATAGCTATATGAATAGATTACTATACAGAATTAAATTATTATACTCGTAACACGTAAGACCATGTTACTAATGGTCTCCTATTTCTAAACAATAGTTGAAAAAACATTCGTTAATAGAATTCAGTTTCGGAAATTCACATCCAGTTCTAATCTTTATAATCCCGAATGAACATGTTCATTTAACCCATTATTATCATTATTTTATAAACTATGTAAATCTTGCAACTGAAATACTCTTATTATATGACATAATTTCATTAGCCAGTGTAAAGTTAAGTGCTCAATTAGTCTTTCAGCCTATCATAATAAACACAGGAAGAAAACAAATTAACTGAATCATTATCCAGTATTGTTTAACGAGCCCATTATGTTTAATTTCTTGTGGAAATAGAAGAGACTAAAATTAGATGATGATGGCCAACGATAACAGGCCAATCCTAATGCAAATGTTCAAAATACTTTGATATCAGGAACAAAACTCAAATCATCTGAACGTTCACAGCAAGCGATGTACTCAGACTTCTATAAAATATAGCCTGACTCTACTGTATAATTTGGTATACACAAGACAAGAACATCAACGACCATGGCTAACATTCCTTTCCAATTAATGGTTGGTAACATGTCAATAAGAGAGGTTGGTGAGGGCAATTACTAACAGGAGAAAACAACGGTACAGCATTTGGTTCGAATAGATATCGTAATTAACCAAGTCTGGTTCATTTAAATTAGAAAAAAAAATAGATGAGATATAGTTTCAAGACAATCAAAAACGGATTAGTAATATTTGTTGGGGGCTTCTGCTCACAAAATCTCTAGAAAATTAAATGTCAGTCATATAGGTTACAGAAAATTAAATCTGCGGTTCAGTATGTGTTCCAGAATGTCGGATTTAATAAAAATAAAAAGTTACTACATGTATATTGAAGAGACAAAATGAGTTAGGAAGATTTACGAGAATAT